TCCCCTAAAAAGTCAATTATTTAGCCAGTCGCGCGCATACGAATCGACGCGGGAGATCTTTTAGCGATGACCGAGGTGCACGGGCGCGACTTTCACACGTGGGCTCCCGCGGGAGCGAATGCGCAATGCTCGCGATCTAATTATATCTCACTTTGTTTGAGTACAACGCACCTTTCGACACGCACCCGCTGTGTTCGCGTCTCTCTCCCTCCGTCGTGCGCTACCTTCTCTCCGCGAGTTTCGTTGCTGCCCTTCTCTAAACCTCGACGATTGGACGTATGCCAAATCGAACACGATCGCTCGTTAAATCGAGTCGCGAATCGCGTAATTTCCTGTTCCGCCGAACGCTCGTAGGCGATGATCTCGAACTTGTCTCTCTTTACTAAGAAATATTATTGTAAACGGAAGATCCCGGAATCAAGGTCTTTTTCTTTTCACTACATATATGTATTGTATATACGGAGCGAGTGTACAAGATATAGATATACAGAGTGCTTCGAGGAGTTATCCGTCCATTCTGTTCTAACTTTAGAATGTACACAAATAAATATTTTTTTTCTTTCCGCACTTTCCAAGACGCTTTCACTCGAAGAAAGATTTTGTCGTAAAAGACACGAGCGTCTGTTGGGCGTTGTTAATTTTGCCGAAATTTTGCTTCTCGCACGAGAAACTTAAAAGACTGTGTTGCTTCACGCGCTTATATAATACATAATCATTCCAATGAAAAATGTTTCCAATGTTTCTCAAAAATTCGAGTTATTAAAAAATATAATTGATATCAAAATCATCCTATTTCGGGGCTAATGTATTAGAAACGTTTTGATCATTCTTTTCTCAGATCTAAACCGAGATCTTAAACTCGACAATCCAAGCTAATCGAAGACCTCAAGTTCTTCCGAATGCCTTGTCAAGAACCATTATTTTCTTCGCTATCAGCGAAAAAGGAACTTTATAAAATCTCCCGTTCGACCTGCTTTCACCTCCTTCGTCTTCTCCTTCCACCCTGTGAACTCGAACGACCATGCATCGTGCATCCTCGTGACTCGTCTTTCGTTTCGAAAATCCCGGTGACCTACTACCCCGCTGACTCGCTTTACTACCCCGGCGGGACGGCGTGATAGCGTGCAATGAAAAAAAAAAAAAAAAAAAAAAAAAAAAAAAAAAAAAAAAAAAAAAAACACGGCGGGATATATGAGATAGCGTCGTGTTGGTGTAGGAGGAAGAGGAGGCTGGCGGGAAAAGGGTTGGAGGAATGGAGCGACCGAATCGTTTAACGAGTCCATCGCACGAACGCGACGCGAAATGAGCAGCTAATCGATAGTAGTTCATTGAGTTTCGGCCGCCGCGTACGTCGATTCCCTCGCTCGGTCTTCACCCCCATGCGTCATCCCTCTCGGTCTGCCACCCCCTTCGCGCACCCTGCAATTTATCGTACGCATCGCGGCTAGCGATGGCGTCGATGCCGCATATCCGGAGGACAGCTATACACTTTGTTTGATACTTGATTTGGCAAAAGCGTGAAACCTAGCGAAACTCGGAAATTTTAACGAAGTAATGTGATTTAAAGAGTTAACTTTCTTCAACTTTAACTTATAACCCACTGATTTACTCGCGCGCGCATTCTTCCACTCGACTTTACTAATTTATTCTTTGTGTCAAGTCTCCTCCTTCCTTTCTAGAAAGCAATTATTCTTATATATGCCCATTTACTATAGTTTTATTGGATTGCAAGTTCTAAAGTCGATCCGCATACTTTTCGTTATGCTTGAAGCACTGCATCGATATTTTTTGATTGATAACTGTATTTCTTACTATATAATTTCTGAAAGAATTTCCAAGAAAAATTATTTCATGCCCAATCATTTTATAACTTTTCCGGAACACGATTTCTCAACTGTAAATCGCTTTCACATTGTTCATTATCTCTACATAAGTAGAATGAGATATACCTAATACGTCGTATTATAATAAAATTGAGTTGCATGAATTAAAGTGAACATTAAAGAGATTTCATTCGAGGTCAATTAATTTTCAAACTTTTCCCCTACACTTTTATACAACATATTGTTCATAGACGTCTTTTTTTTTTTTTTTTTTTTTTAAACCGATGCCTTTTGAATAAATTATCCGATTCGCTAAAAAAAGTTTGACGTCGTGCACGTGCGATCGAAAGCTATCACTGAACCGGCGGTGTCGCGCCACCCCTTTTCTCTGGCCTTTTTCTCTGTCTGATCCGGCGCGCGAATCACCACCCTTCTCCTGCGTCCCTACCCTGCCGATCTGTACGCTGTGTCAATCGTCTCTCTTTCACCCCTACTTTTGTCTGCGCGATATTCTCGCCGGCGACGCGAAGGGGGACGCCGCGTGTTGCACGCCGACGCATCGGCATACAACAGCGGCGGTGGCGGCGGCGACGGCGGCGAGACGCGAGGGAGGAAAAGGTCACGTGGGTTATCTGGCCGTTCCGTGCGAGAGCGTATGCCCGTCTTACGTAGCGCGCGTCAGTCGACACGGCGACTCCGATGAGTCCGCGGTGGTTTAAATATAAACGCCGACACTCGTCCGTACCACCGTTGTCGTCGTCGTCGTCGTCGTCGTCGTTCTCGTCCTCGTCTCTGCCGCCCGCCACCGCGATTCCTTTCCGGCACACCTCGGGTACCGGATGCGGGTCACGCATCGGTGAGTTTCTTCACTGAGGGGGTCCGCATCGAAGCCAGCCGCGGTCTTTATTTTTACACCCGGGAAATTAATAGAGCAACGAAAGCGCGCGTACGCTATCGGAATAATCACGGAGGTCTCGGTTTTTATCGCGATCGAAATTTCTTGATAACTCACTGTCGGATTTGTCAATGGGATCTCGCTCGTTCCTCGCAGCTTCCGTTGAAAAAATGCATATCATTCGTAAAATGAAATTAATATTGAGATATGTATTTACTTGGAATTTTTGTAAATTATTCAAATTTGTTTTCGCGCCGAAACGATTGATCCAAATAAATATCTCTCTCTTGTAAATTCTAAAAGAAAGAAAGCAGCCCGCAAGATTGACTCTGCGAGGGTGGTCGCGTTGGTAATTTCAGTATAACTCATATTACTTATTGTACGTAGAGATCGTATATGTATCCGGCTGGGAGCGTGGGTGTGGACGCTGTACGCGTTGCCATTTCCACGGTTTTATCGCTTCCATGCGTTTTGTTCAATGTCGATTTATGTCGTCTCGGCGTCACGCGTTTCTGTCGTGCAAGCCACCACAATATAATTCGAAAGCTTCCTCCCTTTCTCTCTTTCTCTGCGAGCGCGAGCGGCATTAAAAGTTTCTTGGTCCGCAGGAAGTCGCACACCCGTAACGACGACCTTGAATATTCTCCGCGCGTGCGCGCGCGTTGCGTAACGCCTGGAGATGGTTCGTTAAACCAGGAATGTGTAGGACTTCGTTACGGAGTTCCGCTTTCATACGAACCGCTTGAATCGCGTCAATGACTTAAAGCCGAAGAGCGGAGACGCGCCAAGGAACTCCGACGAAAGAACTTTCGTCCGCTACTTTCTATTCGATATTCAGCCTCGTTGATAACTCCGCCTTGTGCTAATTCCACGCAGGTGTTCTTGGGATCTAAATACGCGACGCGACATAAATATATACTATATAGTCGCCGAATATATATATATTCGCTTTCACGACGTTTCGCATTAATAGCAGAGAAAAAATTTGCAAATCTTTGATGATATTGCAAAAGTTGTGGGGATATATTATTTTAACAGGATTTAATAATTATTTGCAATTGAAAATTGAAAACAAATATAGCAAAATAAAAATAACTTATCTCTTTCTTTCTGCATCAAAGGAATAAAAAAAAAACGATTAAAATTCAATGTAGATTAAGCTTTGACAAATCAATTTCAGCTATATATATATTTATCTTTATTCATTTTTGCGGAGAAAACTGCGCGTAAACTGATATAATATACCATCCAAGAAATCGCGGTCCCTGCATATATTTTCGAGATTCACAAAGCCAACTCGCACGTGTAACTACAATCGACTTCAATATACTTTCTTTCCCGTCTCGCGTTTCCATCTCCATCCCTTTCCGCGCGTTTCATTTCTTCTTTTTTCGACGGCCGGCATGTGCGCATCACCTCGCTTCGTCTTTTGCCACGATAACCGCCAGCAGTTTTGAACGGCTCCATTCCCATCCAGCATACCATCACCGGAAGATAAACTCCTATAAAATCTCACTCTGCCGCGCCGGTTTAAAGCACCCCTCTCCCTCTCTTTCCACCCATCCACCCATCGTTGCACTGTCTGCAGATCGCGCTGTCAATATTATCCGCTCTATTCGAATCCCTTTTAGACCCGAGTTGGAATTTTGTCTCTGTTCTGTTTTGCTCAATTTTCGCCAACATTTTAGAGCGAAAAAAAATAAAAAACTCGAAAACGTAAAGGAACACAAAAACATCGGAAATACGCGCATGAAAAATAGCGAGTGAAGACGAAGAGATGGGCGAGGCTGCGAAAAAGCGAGACAGATGAAAGCCGACGAAAGAGAAGTACGCGCGAGATGTGGAGCAAACATATCTCAGACGCTGACGCTTCTAAACCAGTAAAAGTTTAAGCCTCTGTCATAACTCGCAACCTGTTATGTTTCCACGACACTGATCATTTCCCATAAACTGCCCTGTGATCTCGCCGTTTATACGAGTTATTTCACGGCGCGGCTGTGACACAAGTCTTCTCATTGAGATATTGTAATGATCGCTGATAAAGCATCCCCCGAGTTCTCTACTTAACGCGTTCGCCGCTCTGAGATATCCTTTGTTTTGTTCATTAACGCATTACGAGTTATCTACAAAGTGCATCGACGTGGTTTAATATCTCGGAGAAAAAATGAAGCGTAATTGACGTGTGATATTTTTAAGTTGAAATAATTTAATCATAATTTTTTTCCTTGGGCAACAGTTCTTAATCGACGTAATGTGCAAAAAAATATGTATGCATGTATGTAAACGCATTCTGAAACATGTTATAATATAAATTATAATTAAATATACAATTAAATTATATTCAATTTAGTGTTGGATATCGCATTCTGAAATTACGCCTTCAATTAGTGATACGACTAAAGTAGCCTTTCGAAAATCCTATGTGCCAATTCTCAATAGATTATATTATATCGGGATTGAAGAGCTTTAATCTTTATGAGATAATCTTTATAATGTTCAAGCGCTAACTACTCTCGATGCGATTACATCTATAACTGTACTAGGAGTTGGTATATTTCAAAATCCTGCTACATACATCTGGTTTCTAACGAGCAGCCAGGACTGCGATGTACTCACAGAGGAAGTTTCGTTCGGTATATATCGGTAAGATCGAAAGTTCGACGCGGGCCGACTCGTTGAGAGCAATTGGACGCCCGCATGGACGCCAAACGCATTAGTCGCTTGATTGGTATTCCAAAGATCGTCGGTGTGGGAGAGTCGAGGTAGTTTCGTGCTTCCTCTCTCTCTCTCTCTCTCTTTAGAAGCATAGGATCTTCATCATGGTGCCTGTTACGAATAAGCTCTTAATTCCTTGTAGGGTTCTTGACTCCCACTTCTATCGTCTCTCTGACTCTGTCCTGACCTCCCCTCCCCCCCTCTTTCCTCTCTGCCATCACAGGACTCTTGCTCTCCGGTATCTTCTCCCTTTCTCAATCCTCGAGTCTCTTCCGCTGCCCACTCTCCGACTTCTACCGCTTCTTCCAATGTACACCCACCCTCTTCCTTCCTCCCTCGTCGCCGACCTCTCTCTGCAACACGCGTCTCGCCTCGTGTCCGCGACCCACCCGCTCTCAACGACCGCCACCCCACCCTCTCGACGTCACTTTCTTGGGTTCTCTCACTCTCCTCGTGCTCTTCTCTCCTGTTTTGCTCTTATACAAAAGCCGACGTGGGCTGTATGCTCGTACAGATGTACCTAGCGTTGGACTCGAGTCTACGGAAAGCCGGAGTAAGGAAAACTTCATGCGGGATGATAACTCGTGCTTACGTGCACTCCCTTAAATGGTCCTCGCATATACGCGAACTCGGCGAGCGAGTTATCTCGTCGATTGCATCACGTAAGCGATAGTACCGCGGAAAAAGAGCTCGTAAAAGCGATGCAGTCTCTCGATTTCCGAGAAAACTCCGCTTTTGTAAGACTAGCGTAAATACCTAAAGGAAGAATCTAAAATTATTAGAAAAGTTTTCTTCTTTTTCGTTCGCCAAATCGTATTCCCAAATTATTCAACACAAAGCTGTATAAAATATCAAACAGCAATGCAAAATAAATGATTTTTCGCTTCGCAAATCCCGCTTTAATTATTCGATTTATCGCGGTTCATGCTTTCGTTCATTTATTTATTATTTATTATTCGTCGAAGCCGGTTCCAGTTTCTGTTCGGTCTTTTGCTCGTGTTCACGCGAGTCGTTCGCTGCGGTTGCTCGGTCGGATACCGAGTCCTCCCAACAGAGCGAATAAGTAAAGCGAAGCGGAGAAGCGTGTATCGACCTCGAGCCGTAGGTGTGGGTTCGACCCGAGAGCGGTCGGTCTGCTCACGCTTGGCAGCCTGGCGACTACGAGCCGTCTCTCTCTCTCAGGCGAGCCCTCGAAAAAATTCCAATGCCAGGGGAAATGGGGGCAGGAGTGGCCCTGGAGGAGGAGGAAGTATAGCCGGGCTAGAAAGGCCTGGGGGACGACGAGGGGACAAAAGGAAAAGACTCTCTCTCTCTCTCTCTTTTTCTCTACCACTGTCGTGTTGCCACTCTTCTTCGTCTTCGTCTTTTTCTCTTTGTCCCTATCTCCGTTGCTCTCTCTCTCTCTCTCTCTCTATCGCTTGCTTTCTCCTTTTAACCAGCCTCCGGTCGTATTCCATTTAGCAGGGGCGCCGTTGGAGCCGACGAAGCATCATAGAATACCTTACAGCGAAGCAAGAGCGAGCCGCCAGTGCTACGGAAGAAATAAAAAGGAATCCTCTTCTCCTCGCAGCATGCCAAAATAAAACGGCACTCTAGCTGCCTGCATCTCTCTCTATCTCCTTCTTCTCTCTTTCCTTCCGTCGTCATCGTGCTCCTTCTGGCCGTCCCGTTTGGTCTGTGACCGGAGAAAGAAAGAGAAAGAGACAGACAGAGAGAGAGAAAAGAGAAAGAGTAAGAAAGGGATAAGAGAAAGAGAACGGTCAGATGGGGGTAAAGAAGGGGTGGGGTGGGTGTCGAGGGGGGAGGGAGAGAGGCAGAGAAAAGAAACGGGCTCTTTATTGGTCTCTGGGAAACCGATCCCCCTCAAGGGCAATTAGCGAAATACAAACGGAGGTAGCTCTCTCGGTTTATGGATTGGACGGTGAGAGGCGATTGAGCCCCTCCTTTCGGCCATATAGATCGCGCTCCGCAATGTTCGGTCGAGTGAAAAGTGTCATGGATAGCTCAATCTCACGGATTAATATCGGTCAATAACAAGCGTCGCGCTAATGCGAATAGCGCCTGCGCTATTCAATCTAATTAGCGCGTAGTAAAACGGTAGGCAACTCTCTCTATATATGCGGGAGAGTACGACAGGTGATTAGAAATTATGTCGGCGTGAATTATGAGCGAGAAGCGGCGTGTTTGTATATGTTTAGATTCGATATCGCGCTTATTACACCGCGCTGAGAGTGAAAACGCAGCGA